GGAATGCTCTTTGTGCATAGGATTGGGCTCCTCAAGCCCCAAGAGCACCTTTCCTGGGTTGTCAGAGAGCACAGGCAGCCCTGGGCTGCTGCCTCTTTCCTACCACAAAGTAAATAGACATATGCTTCAATAAAGTAGCACTATTTCATACTACTTTATGTCATGGCCACTGCTGTGGATGCTTATTTGCTGGCCATGCATGCTGAACAAATACAATGTCAGGCAACATTAGTTTCTACTCTAAGATAACCTCTAAGGCTGGGTTCCATATATTCTATTTTACCTAATACTTCAGTAAAATACTTTTAATTCCTTCCTCCATTTCAGGAGTCTGAATTCAGGTCTGCTGCTTGTCATAGGGGAAAAGTGGCTGCTCCCCTTCATCATTACCAGGCGCTTCTTGCTGCAGCCACCCAGAGCCTGTGCCCAGGCTGCCTTGTGGCTCCTCTCCACTGCTGTCACTGCCACCTCTAAGCTGTCCAAAGGGGCAGTGCAGAGGAGCCACAGGGCAGCCCAGGCACAGGCTCCAGGTGGTTGCAGCAAGAAGGGCCTGGCAGCAATGAGGGGAAGAGGCTGCTTTTCCCCTGAGCTGAGCAGCAGCTTCCACCCAGCTGCCACTGGTGTTGCTACTGCTCAGCATGGATGGGTGAGTCTGGCACAGGTGCTGGGCAGGCTGGGGTTGGGGCTGGGAGTGTGGGTTCCAGTGGGTCTGGAGCTGGTCCGCTCTGCCAGGCCAAGTCCAGAGCAAGCACAAGGCGGACCAGGGTTGGGGCTGTGAGTGTGGGTCCTCACCAGTACCACAGTGCTGGAGACAGTGGTGGCAGCAGCTGGAAGGAGTCACCGCCACCTGGCCTGCCAAGAAAAGCAGTCCAGCTACAGTCCCACTGCATTGTCAGAGGGCAGCAGGATGCGCCATGGGCCGGATGGTGCCTGGGCCAAGAGGGACTGAAGGAACAGCTGCAGGCTAGACAGAGTCCCTTCATGGGCTGTATCTGGCCTGCAGACCATATTTTGCCCACCCCTGCTCTAAGCATTGGACAATGCAGAGTAAACTAGACAGGAAATTAGTGCTGTATTAATATTACTGCACAAGTATTAAAAGCCATACTCTAGGAAGGACATCATGGTCTTATATAGCAGAGTTCTGGCCAGCTCTGTCAAGTCTTTTCCAAAGGACCACTTTTTTAGATGTGATATCTTTTATTAGACCAACAAAATATGCCTATGTCCTTGATCAACACAGCTACAATCAAAAACACTTTTAGTTGGTCACTTTCCCAAAAATATGTGAAATCATTTTTTCCTTATTCATGAACACTAGCTACAGACAGAAACAGTATTCCACATCTATTTGCATTGCTCAGGTAACTACATTGCTCAGGTAACCCACTTCTATTCTAACTCTGTTACTGTACCTGGGTAGATCCATCCAACATGTACTTTATGACAGTGCCTTGGCTGGTGATGACCCTAGACACCTCCTGTTCTATTGTTTTTTTCATTGATTTGTACTGATGGGAATACTTCATACGTAGGGGATAACTCTGTCTAATCAGGAGTTCCGGAGTAGGTTGCTTGGCCTCTTCTGCTTTGGCCACACATTCCTTGGCTTCATTTTCCTTCAGTTTTCCTTCCTTGGCTTCAGCTGCTTTTGGTTCACTACTTGCCTTGGCTTCATCTTTCATATCTGAGAACAAAGTTGTAAAATTTAACAGCATGTTAATAACAGTTTCAAAGGAGCCCAACTCTATTTAAAAGTGTGGCCACACAGTATAATTACTATCAAGTAATTTATCTGGTCTTTTAATCTATATTAATAAGTGGACACATGACCAGCTCTCCTGAGCTGGCTGCCCACTAGGTAGTGGAGGAAGCTAGTTTGCATTGAAGAAACAGCTACCCTGGGTGTGTCTACATGTGAATTTACACACCCCTAAACTTAAGGCACTTTAATACGACTCACTGGGCATACACCCTTGCAACCTGCCCTGGTCAGCACCCTGGACAGCCAGACCCCAGCTCCCTGGGCTGTGCTCTGCTGCCTGGTGCTGCTAGGAAGAAAAAAGTGAGTATTGCAGCCACTAGTGACTCCCCAGTGCCTCTGCCTCAGGGCAGGTTTGCTGGCTGGGAAATGCAGCCCTGCAGGGCCAGGATGCCTCGCTGCCTGCCCGGGATTCAGGAACCCTCAGAAGCCTGCAATGGGGCTCCTGCCCGGTACAGTAGGGGGACTGTGACTGTGTACCCCAGCACCCAGAGCCGATTTCTCTTCTGCAGCCACCCCTGCCCCCGGCAAACACACAGCTTACCTGCTAGCAGGATATTGCCCATGGAAGAGGTGGTATCAGTGCCTGGGGGCTCTGTTCAGCTCACCCCAGGCAGGCTGGGACTGCGTCTGCTTCCAGTGCCCGGCGCGGCTTTCCTTACTTTGCTTGCCTGACCTGCCTGCACTGCACTCAGCCTCCCCAGGCTGAGCCAAGCAGAATCCTTAATGTACCTTAAATATGGTGACTAATGTGATGTAAATCACCTTATGGCACCTTAAGGGTACACATATAGACACACCCCCTGGGATTAAATTGACTAGGGAGTAAACACCCAACATATTCCACATAGTGACTTTCCCATATAATAAAGGTACTATACAGTTTTCAAGGGGGTAACTTCACCTTGGATTGGAGCAATTTAGTATATAATAAGGCTATACATTGTATGTCTGCTCCTTTTTTATTATATAGAAAAGTCAATTTACTACACACTAAATCATACACCATGCCTATACCCTGTCAACGCTGGTGAGAAATGTTACTAAAAAAAATTATATCAAGCTGCTTGATGCTTTACAAACATAAAAAAACAGATGCAGCTTCTGAAACAAAGAATTTAATTAGACCCTTTCTACACATGCATGTAAAGGCTCAATGGGATCTAATGCACAATACACACAATCATGCCTCCTACCATGCCACACATACTGCACCGATCCTGGGCTCCCCCTGCACCGGCAAGAAGCAACCTCCCATGGCTGAAAGCCCCCTTGGCTGAGGGGCTCCCAGCCACTTGGGTGCCCAATGTACATCTAGGACTGAGTGACACAACTGTTGTGATATTCCAGCCTTGGTGGTCCATAAAATCCTTGCAGCTAGAAGACTGAGGCAGCTGTGTCTCATAGCCCTGGGAGTTTCATGCACTCCTGGGGCTGGGAGATCTCATCCACACCCTGTGGCTACCAAGACTCAGCTGGACCCCGGCACCAAAAGGCATGCTGTGAAAACCCAGTGTCTGTAGCTGCAGGACTCTGGGAGGACTCAGGGTCCTGGTAGCTGAAGGGTGCTGTCGGGATCTAGAGTTGGCAGCTGCTAGGGCTGACAGTCCCTCCAAGTTGTGCGATTTCCAGCCCAGACTAGTCATGGTGCACTCCTGTAGCTCAGAGTCCTGTCAGCTGATAGGACTCTCAGTCACAGGGGAGACCCTCCTACATTTGCAAATTAAAGCTTGATAGCAACCAGCTATAAAGTTAGTATACACATTTTTGAGTTTTAACTTTATAGCTGGTTGGAGCTTTTTATGGCATGATAACTACTTTGCATTTGTAGCTGGTCTCAAGATAACTGTGCAATTAACCAGTAAATTGTGCAATACCTTTATTGTGTAGAGGGGCCTCAGATGCAGACAAAAGGATTCAAAGTAACCCCATGTTTAGCAGTCAACTAGAGAAACTGCACAACTGATAAATACTATTAATTCAGAATCCTATGCTGAATATGATTTGTTCAAAATTCCTTTCCATCCTCTTCACTGTATCTCATGCCAAACTTATCTGATTGTATATACCTCAAACAGGAAAATATTGGAAATGAAAAGTAAAAGAAGACCTGAAAATAAAAGCAAGACATGATTTTTTTCCCCTAGTAACTCAGATGGCATATCAGTAATATAAGCCACTGTGCTGGTTGGTACTGTTTGGTGCACATATTTAACTTCTATATACCATAACTTACGATGGACATTACAAGCAGCCAAGATTCACTGGAGTTTACATTGTGTACAACTGTATGCTGGTGCAATGATTCAAAATGCATTGAAGTTGACACTTGCCTGCCTGTACATGAATGCCAGGAGCTTGGGGAATAAACAGGAGGAACTTGTCCTCCTGCTTAACACAAATAATTACTATGTCATAGGGATAACAGAGACCTGTTGGAACTCCACCCATGACTGGACCACGGGTATAGATGGCTACACCCTGTACAGGAGAGCTTGAGTGGACAAAAGGGGTGGGGGTGTAGCTCTCTCTGTCGAGGAGAGCTACGCGTCCCTGCAAGCCGACATTGGTGACTAGGGTGGATGATTGGAGACCCTCTGGGTTAAAATCCTTGGGGAACATGGCACAGGGAACACAATGGTGGGAGTCTATTACAGACCTCCCACCCAGTCAAGAGTTTGACCAGGAGTTTGCCAGGGAATTGGCTGAGGCCGCACGCCCCCAGTCCATGGTTGTCATGGGAGAGTTCAACTACCCAGACATCTTGTGGGAAGAGTGCTTGGCTAAATCCAAGTGGTTGCAAAGCTTCCTCTCATGTGTGGATGACCTCTATCTGACACAAGAAGTCTATGGGCCAATGAGAGGTAAAGCACTGCTTGACCTGGTACTGGCAACCAGGGATGACCTAATCAGGGACCTAATGATCGATGGGAAGCTGGGTGACAACGAACACGAGCTGATCACCTTCACCATTCACTGTAAAGCTGGCAAGTCAGTCAGCAATACTGAGGTCCTCGACTTCAGGAAAGCTGACTTCGACAAGCTCAGGAGGCTTGTCAGTGAGTGTCACAGGATGGGGTCTTCAGGGATGACTGTGATACCCCTTGGTCCCCTTGACCATGTCAGTCCGGCCCAATGGTTACCCTTTTTCTCTCCTGCCACATCTTTGCTCGTAATTATAATATAGGGAGGCTGCCCTTGATCTTATTGTCTGGACACAGTCCTGCTGGACCCCCCTGAACCTCGTAAGTTCTCGGATCCTGTTTTGGACCCTGCTCAAAATGGGTGCCTCCTGGGCTAGATGTGTGGCTCCAAAACCACCCCTTTACCACATCCCAAGCCTCACAGATGTCATACCAATGTTGTCTCCTTGAGTTGCAGCCTCAGCTTAGGCCAGCCTCCACAACTGCACCCTCTGGTTCTGGGTTCTGCTCTCCCCCTTGTCGCTGCACCCTCTGGCACTGGGGTCCACTCTCCCCCCTTGTCACTGCACCCTCTGGCACTGGGGTCTGCTCTCCCCCTTCGTCACTGTGCCCTCTGGTACTGGGGGTCGGTTCACCCCCGAACACTGTGCCCACACTGGCACTGGGGTCTGTTCACCCCCGAACACTGCGCCCACATTGGCGCTGGGGTCTGTCACTGTGCTTTCTGGCACTGGGGTCTGCTCTTCCCCCTGTCACTGCACCCTCTGGCGCTGGGGTCTGTTCACCCCCAAATACTGCACCCACACTGGTGCTGGGGTTTCCCACACTGTAGTGGGTCCCCAATGAGGCCTCTTTCTTCCCCAACAGCCTTAGCCTGGTCCTCCAGTATTACAAAACAGCAACAAAACATGAGCCCCTGGGTTATAACATAACACCAAAGTTCAGGGTGTGCTCTGCCCCTTTGAAAAGGATCTAATGTCTTTCCTGGCATTAAGTGTCTAGTAGGCAAGGGTACCTCATTAGTCCTAAGTGCAGCATATCGGGTAGTTGTAGCATCTCTGGGATATTCCTCCCTGGAGGCTCGTTCCCCTTTGGCTGCTGGAATGTAACTGAATTCCCTAGTCCCAGCCCTGAGGTTTATATGGGCCCAGGGCCCTGCCTCTTCTGGCCAGCTGACCAGGTGCAGGTGCAGGCTAACTGGCTCGTTAGTCTGCTGCCATGGTAACCTGCACCTGGGGTCCTGTCTAACTCTTTGGGCTCTCTCCCCAGGCAATTTCTGCTCTTACAGGAGCAGGCACCTTAGTGCCCAGCGACAGTGAGGCCCTAAGGGACCATGGCCCCAAGAGGAGGGGAGTTCAGGAAGAGTGGTTGCTCCTCAGGGATGCTATCATCGATGCACAAGCTAATGCTATCCCATCTTGGAGGAAAAGCAGCAAAAGGGCACAGGAGCCCCTTGGCTCTCCAGGGAACTAGCAGACCTCCTGCAGCTAAAAAGAAAGACCTACAAAGGATGGAGGTCTGAATCCACCTCCAAGGAGGAATATTCTGCAATGGTCCGGACCTGCAGGGAGTGAACCAGGAAAGCCAAGGCTGTGATGGAACTCCAACTAGCTACAAGTATCAAGGATAATAAAAACTCCTTTTTTAGATATGTGGGGAGCTGGAGAAAAAGCAAGATCAACATTGGACCCCTGCTAAACCAGATGGGACAACTGACAACCAACACCCAGGAAAAAGCCAACCTACTAAATGGGTACTTTGCATTGGTCTTTCATCAGTCCCACGGGACCCAGGTGAGGGAGATCCCTTGCCTTCCATCAATGCTGACCTCGTGAAGGAACACCTCGAAAGGCTGGACACCTTCAAGTCAGCCAGCCCTGACAATCTACACCCCAGGGTATTCAAGAGGCTGGCGAGCATCATATCTCAGACCCTGGCATGGATCTTTGAGAACTCCTGGTGCTCTGGTGAAGTGCCTGAAGACTGGAAGAAGACCAATGTGGTGCCTCAAGAAAGGGAGGAAAGTGGATCCGGCAAACTACAGGCCCATCAGCCTGATCTCTATCCCGGGGAAGGTCTTAGAAAAGATTATCAAAGAGGCCATGCTTAACGGACTGGCCAATGGCAACATCCTGAGGGATAGCCAGCACGGGTTTGTTGTGGGTAGGTCTTGCTTGACCAATTTTATTTCCTTTTACAACCAGGTGGCCTATCACCTGGACAAGGGAGAGGAGATTGATGTCGTATATCTTGACTTCAAAAAAGCCTTTGAGCTGGTATCCCATGATCACCTCTTGGCAAAACTGGCCAACTG